ACTGTAAAATGCGCATGCATCGTTGCGCAATATGTTATCCTGAACACGAATTCCTCTCCGAATCATTCATCATTTTCCTCTAAAATTCTTTTCTAATTGCAACCAGAAACAAATGTATATAACTTGTTCAAGTTACGTGAATCACCCTGTACGTACATTACTGATCTATTTAAAATAAATAATTCATTCGTCGCGTTGGTATCGTGTATTTACATACACGAAAGCTCGTGAAAGTATGGACACTTGAGAATTAAAAGAAAAAATAAGTTCAGAAGTTGCTTAATACAAAATAATTTTATTTCTGGTCAGTTCTTTGTTTGATAAACATGAAATTAACGAACTATGCATAAATAATGCAACAAAAACGAAAATTAAATTTTCTTCTCGTCAAAAAATCCTCCTTCGGCGAAGTGTCCATACTTTCATGAGCGGCAGTGTACATCAGTCTGTCGATTCAAAAATTATTACCGTACGAACCAACAGTGATCGATATACTCCAGGTAAAAAATTCTGGGGAAAAAAATTGGCAAAAATCGCGGGGAACAAAGCGGATCCAGCTGGTGCTCGCGGCCGTTTTACGTCGAATTACCAGGATGACGCGGGAAATTAATGCAAGATCCCCGAGCGCTGGTTCGCCCTAACGGCTTCCCGTTTCAGTATTTATTGGGGTATCCGTGAATTTGCATAGGAGCGTCCGCCCCACTCAAAACTTGGCCCGGACCACACAAAATGTCTACTAATGGCCGGCCTCTAAGCCGTCGCTTGTCCTAGCCAGTATCCTGACCAAGGACCTGAAATTCCACGCTGTGATACGCTCACCGCGATAAAAACACGCAGTCACGATTTCCAGCGGGCAGCCTCTTTCCGCCATCCGGGTGACACTTCGTTTTTCATCACGTGCACAGCCCAGAGGCCGCCGTTTACGATCGATCAAACACACACGCCACGATCGTTCATTTATGCGGGCGTTTCCGTTCGTTTGTCCGAACGCCGCCGCTGATCGTAATTGCGATATTTCGCGTAATTGATCTACCCTTTTCGCACGTGAATACCTGTGTTCTAAAACTCACATGTTCCACCAATATTCTGTGTTTTTTTCTCTTCTTTTGGGTTAGGTTAGGTTTGTTCGATATTTTTGCTTTTGTGAATTGAAAAAGTGGCTTGGAAATACTGTTGTATTCTTCCCGTTTCTTATTGTCAGTTATGGATCGGTCTGGTTTAACCTAACTGATGAACAAAATGACGAATAGAATATTTAGCGATATGTGTTTGACGAAATACACTGGGTGACGCACATAGAATCACTCCCAAAAGCAAATGTTGATAAACGTGTAAATTGTTGAAATTAAAGCTCAGATTGTAAAATTAAAGTAAATTTGTATATTAGCAAAACTGATATTGTTAAAATTGGAAATTACATTACAGTAAAAATTGTTAAAATGAAAGTATTAAGTTTAAACTAACGCTTGTGTTTGCACATTATCACAAATGTTTAGTACATTATTACCAATATAGAACTGTAAAAGTATTTTGCGTTTAGGGCCGGTTTTACGTGCGCCATCCGGTGTAACGTTAGGAAAAAATATCCTCAGATATTATGGATATAAAAATATCCACAACGTCGTACCATTTTACCTAATTTTATGATATGTGCATTTTCAGAGATATTTGCAATAGAATTTTGTTAAACGCGTTGCACAGTACTTGACGATAAAGTGTATAAAAGGATGTAAAAATTCGTTTCTATTCTCCAATTATTACCTATTAATATGTATTTCAAACAGAACTGAATTTCACGTGAAAATCGCCCACTTTCCACAGTGGTTAAGAATACCAGTAAGTATAATACCTCTGACAAGAAATTACAGGAACGTCTTCGCGGTTCCCACAGTTCTACCCTTAAATAACAAAAATACACGTTACAAAATAAAACAGAGACACCTTCCAATTGTTCCAAATAATCCAGGACTGCGTTGCAGAAACGAGTTCCCCCGAGCCACTCTGGACCAGGTTGCATTCTGAGACTCCCTTCAGCTTGGCCCGGCCCTAATCCTCTTACGACTACTTCTACTAACCTATAATAATCCTCTTTGCAGTAGATGTTGTCGTCCCTGGCGAAGCATGTCAACTCGGCGGCCAAAGGTACCCGGCAATGGCAGCAACGCAGGCAGCCGCAGTGCCACGCGCGATCTGCAGCCCTTAGGTACCATCTCTCGGCTATCTCCCTGCCGCAACCCCCGCAGCCAAGACTTCCGTCGGCGTTGTTGTTCTCACCGGTGCTAACCTGACGATTGCTGACCGCACCATCCCCTGGCGGGGGTGTGCTGCTCCCGCAGCCCACTTCTTTCAACATCTCGAGGAGGAACGCCGCGACCACCGGCGCATTCTGCGAACAGAGATGTGTGGCAGATTTAGAGGAAGAAAGCTCGTAGGAAAAATAGAAGAAAGTCGGAAGATGACATTAGCATATTCACTGCCACCTGAAAATCGGAAAAAGGCAAACCGTGAGCCACTGATTCGTAATGTCAATCGAGCACACACGCACACGCCACTTGCACGGTCAATGACGAATTCGTGGTGGTAAAAATTAGTACGGACTTTTCATGTAACTGACAAATGCTCTGTTCGTGGATTGTCAACGCCTGGCGCCTAGAGGGATTCATTCTTAACCGCATATGCTGCGTCCGTGGCAGTAAACGTGTTAAAGCGTCTGGTAAGTGACGCTGTGGACCTGAAGAAGGAGAGTTTGAATTTTTGAGACTGAAATTTTTTTGTTCTGGAGGACTTGCAAAAATTCTGTCCACTTTTTAGGTAGACATTCGCCATTTTGGAGAACGTGTACACTTGGTGGGAGCGATAGTGTGCGCAGAGTCGTAAAATTTGGCAGGCGTTAGAGTTTGAGGGAGAGATGGAACTTAAGCTTCGTCTAGGTTCGTTCGATGTCTATCATTTAAAATGTACCTTACATGTGCTACAAGTTAATGAACATTTTGTGAATCCGAATGAAATATCTACTCAGACGAATTTGTAATGGAAACGTCAAAATAAAATGTTACTGGTATTTAGTGAGTTTAATTTTATTCCAGAAATGTAGGAGAAATTTAGTTTCGTTCGAGAAATACTAAGTATACACTGACTTGTGACTTACTATTTTTAGGATCTCTACTGCCTAACTCCGCCTTATAGAGTAGTCAAATTATTTATTATCATTTAATCATTAATACTATAATTTCAAAAATAAACATTTCAATTTATCCGTATTTCGTGGTACTGTCTGTACTGTGTACACATAAATTTGCAAGAAAATGCATTAACGTTTTGCAAAAAGAACATATTAATTTTTAATATAAGCAATCTGTCTCTACGTTTGGCTTATCTTTCTAAACCTGATATTTTCCGAGATGTTTCATAAAATACGTTCCGCGCTCTCAACTTTGAGGGCTGTTTTCACTCCTTCGCCGTGGATTCCGACACGTAAATCCTGCGTAAGTTTCGTCAAAATTGGCGATCAACGGAATTTCGTTCGTTTGTAGTGATTTATCAGAAGTGTCGATGTGATCGATGCTTGTGGTTGATACTAATCTCTGAATAGTGTTACCGCAGACTTATAACACTGTTAACAGCTGAAGTAGTATCTACAATTAACTAATTGCTTATGTAAGAAATCTTCCGTAATTTTATTCTCCTTTGTTGGAGTTATAACGCGACACCTAACTACCTCTGAAAACAATAGCTTCCAACAGATACTATCGAACGATTAACAATTCATCATCTAAGATATCTTCACCTACACAACATATACTCTTCACTTGTACAAGATTAATCTTCCACCTTCAAATACTTGAATTCCAATCATTTACCAACCAGCGCCTACATAAATCACAATACTCTTATCCGTATTAATACACGCTACATGGTGCTAATATTAACATCAACAGCTAAATCTTTTACGTCGCATTTTCAAATTCTTCAATCTGACTCGACGAAATTCATTCTCCTTACCGAAAGCGCCTTCTACTCCACCTACTTGCGACACAATCTCACGACATTCCCCTCTATCAAACGAAACAACTGTAGAACAGTCACGAAGGCAGTCTCGCTGTGAAACAAAAACGTTCACACGTCGTTCATGACACGCGACACGGCCTCTAGCCCATCGATTTCCCTCGCTTGCCTTTTGTTCCCCCGGAATAGTATTTGGCGGGTAGAGGAGACACTCGTCCCCGATTTCACGGTGAAAATTCAGCAGAGCCGCTCACGGAACTTTTTCCACGTCGTCATCACGATGACGAGGCTTCGAAGCTGAACGACTCGAGGTCTCCACCTCCTCCTTCTCTGGAGGCGGGCGAAGAGGTGGTGGAGGAGGAGGAGGAGGTGGCGGTGGAGGATGAGGAGGAGGTGGCGGAGGAGGAAGGAGGAGGTGGAGGAGAGGCGGCCCCGCATTCATTCAGGACACTTCTCGGCGGCGGCGCACGCAAGAACCGATGAATGAAAACAATTCGTGACTGCTGTCCCGTTAATGAATGACTCCCAGGGCAGTGGCTCTCTCGGTTTCGAATCGGCCGCGAGCTAATTAGTAGAAGCTTGCGGATCGCCACAATAACTCAACGTCCTTTACGAGCGCGGGCCGCACGTGATTTCCGTAAGTTAAATGGAAGGTGACGTCGCCTGGAATCACCCGTACACCTCGTTCTACCCGAGGTGACGCCGTTTTGCTGCCGCTTGTCACCCGACGTATTAGGCCGTACGTGTGCACGCTGATTTACAACTATTCTACTCTTGTTCGCTCCTTTCTTTTGTTCCTCCGTTGGCCTGGCCGTCTAGCTCTTCCTTGCCTCGCCTTTGCTCCTGGATTTTGTTATAATCGTTACGTTGGCAAGGATAACTGGCACGTGCGATATATCGGTGCAGTATGAAGCATAATTTTAACGATACCTTTTGGAGTACCGAATACCCCAAAATTTTTTCAGGAAATTATACAGTCGTTAGTGATATCGGTACTGGCAAAGTGTGCAGTATGAAGTTCAACGTGCAAGAATTTGAAAATATTTTTTCATACTTTGCTTAGGCAAAGTGTACATTACCAATACGGTTTTGGGCAAAGTATTGATATACTGGTTCAGGTTACGTTCCCTTTGCAGTCATTGAACATTAATTAAAATGATAATAAATACTACTTTAGATGAGTAACAGAGAATATGAAGAAAATCACTAAACATAGAAAAAACAAAATCAGAAAAAACCGAGTTTTCATATTGATACTATAATAATTACGTATTGACACATTGGTTCGGATTAGGTTCCCTTTCCAGTATTTGAACATTAATTAAAGCGATAAAAAATAATACTTAAATAAACAACAAAGGATAGAAAGAAAGTTACTTTGATAAAAATCACTAAACGTAAAAAAATGAAACCGAGTTTTCAACTCCATGTCAACTGAGACTACACTAATTCTGTAATCCAGTATTGCGCAATGAATGATGATGTCATTGTGATCGAATAGTCGCAACTTTGTTAATACTTTGCCTGCTCACCAGTCAGCAATGTATACGCTACCTAGGCAAAATGTAAAGCAGATCTAACGTCACAGTTTGCTTAGGCAGTGTATACACTTTACTTATCTCGTTCAATTGATGTTCTTAAAGTTTTACGCAGACTGTCGCTAATTCTCGGTAATACGAATCGAAACAGCTTTTCCTTCGTCTGACACACATCGACGACGTTCTAGCACATCTTCACTCACGTTACATACCTGAGTGTTCGTTCAACCAGGTGGAAACGCGACGGTGTTCGCCACCGACGCTACCGACGTCCTCGACGCTCCTTCTGTCTGCTCTCTGTCGGCCGTCGCTTCCCGTCGCAGCGATCCCACAACACTGATTCACTTCTCGAACCTGACTATTTCCATCCGAATAGCACCAACGACCTTGAATCACCAGCAGCAAGTTTTTCCAGGCTTAGAGTGGACTATCTTGGATTCTCGTCGTAGAGAACGATGGAAAGTTTGCGTTACAAGATCCGTCGGAAGACGTCGCGACAGTGTTAACATTGAAAAGTCGCGGTGGAACGTTGGACGATTGAAGTGGACTGTGTTGGAAGGTCTAATTACGAAGAATTTTGGAAAGTCACTTAAGTGCTGAGAAATTTCATTCTTTCGGAGGTCACAAATGAGTTGATATTTTGGATAATTCGTCAGATTTCGATGTCTGAAATTTGAGTCGCGAGAAAAATATGCCTAACGCTAGATCGAATCTTCTTCGTACCCTATGATTGCAACAGACACAACGAATGTAGAGTGATTAGTGCATCACGTAAGTCACGTTAACTAAGTATTCTTCACAAATTTCCGTAACTATATTCGAAACCTCCGAACACAGTAATCCCACAAGATACAAACAACTCAACCAACACCACCCACCCCCAACTACGATACAATTAACTCACTACACAACCCGCATCTCTAATTACCCTCGAGAAGAAATCACAACAACCGTCACAAAATACTCCGTCACAGCCCTCGTCACTAATTACTCAACCACTGTTCAATCGTCCAACTTTCTCAACGACGAATCAAACTGGAACTCTCTTCGCCGAATCCTCTACCTGTCTCTCGTCTCCGGCGTCTTCAGTCTTCCTCTCTATCACCTTTTCCACCCGAAGATCATCACCAGGGGTCGGCGTCGCGTCGTCAGCCACGTTTCTCGCGCGTCGTCGGAGCCGTGCTCACGCAGGGAACCGATCCGGAAGACGCCACTTTTCCCGGCGGCGACGCTGGACGGCTTCTCCTCTTTTTGCCCGGCGAGGGAAAATCGTGCGCGGCACGGATAACGTCTACGGGCGAGTTGGCCGCGAGGGAAGCTGCTCCCCGTCGGCGTAATAGTACGATCCTGGGCTGGCCAGCCAGGGCCAGGGGCGGACGTCGGCATGGCAGAATAGAGGGGTTGGCCCCCGCGTGCAACGACGCCGCAGCCACGGGGTGGGGTTTTCGGTGGCTGCCTCGACGGGGTAGAGACGTCGGGACGCCAGGCGTTTGCGCGCCGCCGCGCCGCCCCTCCGTCCTCGTTCCGCCAAGCCACCTCCCGCTCTCGTCATCGTCGACGACGTACGACAGAGCTCGGCTAGAGCTCTGTACTGGACGACAGGAATCACTCGTTTCTACGCGTTTATCAATTATGTCACCGGGCTTGTGGGATCGTTCGAAGGTTCTTGGGTTGTTTGTTCGACGTTAGAGTGTATCTTGGATGGTTTGGTTCTTGGGGATCTAGGTTTTGGTGTGGAAGGTAGGAATGATCTTGGGTTGGAAGGAACGGGTTGTGGGTGTTTTGAGTTCTTGTTGGTTCGGTGATGTTG